AGAGAGAGAGAGAGAGAGGCGAAGAACGAGATAGAGGAAAAAGGCGAGGAGAGAATTGAAATTGTCACCAACCGAGGGTTCTCAAGTTTCTGCGACTTTCAACCCTTTCTTTGCGGACGACGCGACGCTGGATATTTGACGGCCGACCTTCGACACTGGGCATCCCTGATTCTTAATCCCCGTGAGAGAGGGAGAGGCTGCAACTCGATTTTATTCCATCTTTTTTTTCTCTTTCCCCCTCTCCTCGATACTTCTTTCTTTCGAAGGAGGAAGGAGAGACGAATCAATCCGAGAAACTCGAGACCGTTTCTCGTCGATTTCAATAATAAATCGCCACGTGTTTCGCGCCACATCCCTCGCGTCACGGGGAAGGGAATATCTCGTTTTTGATGTTTCGGGATTTTGCTCGAAATCCTTTCTTCGATTTCCTTTCCTGTTCCGATGCAATATCCCCCTCCTTCCTTCCCTCTTCGTTTCCATTCTTTTATTTTCCCTATCGCATCGTTTCGCGGCGCAAGGAGAGGAGATCGCGGCTATGCGGCGCGAGTCACCGTTTTTCCCAACCAAACGATTGACCAAGGGTTGCGAAGAGGGTGAGAAAGAGGGCGAGAGCACGAGCTTTCGACAGCGGCGAAGTCGAGTTGCGAATTTTTAACGATCGTCTCAAGTGGACCGGCGAGATTTTCGAGAAAGTCGTAGAGAACGTTTTCGAGACATTAATCTCTTCTCTCTCTCTCTCTCTCTACTTCCCTTTCTTCCACCGATTTTTAAGCAAATGCTAATTAAGAGACGCGCGGTACAACGATTCCGCACGGTTTTTCTCGAAACTCGAACGTTACCCATACGTTCATTAATCACATTTTTATCTGGTGGCAGACGGAAAATTGCGTTCCGTCGCCCGGCCCGTACCGCCGCTTCTTCAATCCTTTTTTTTTTTTTTTCTGATTTATCGTTGTCGTCGTCTGCGGGGGGAAAGGAAGAAAGAGAGGGAAAGGAAAAAAAACAGAGGAGAAACGCGAGAAAGAAAGAAAGAAAGAAAGAAAGAAAGAAGAGCGGGGAGACGCGAGGAAGGAGGAAGGAGAAAGAAGAAAGCGGAAAGAGAGTTGGCTGGTTGCGGGCCGCCGGCTTAATGTCCTTAATAATGGAAAAATATATCATCCGCTATATTTCCTAAAAGGCATCCCTCATCTCGATTTCCCTCTATCTCTCTCTCTCTCTCTCTCTCTCATTCCTTCCTCTTCTCTCCTTTTTCCTTTACTTTTGGTACGGAAGATCGGCAAAGGAAAGGGATCGGACAGACTCGGTTCGACTCGGAGTCGGCGTTCGCCAGACGGAAAGTTTGTCCGTTTTTTTCGAAAGGAGGATTGCCAAAAGGATCCGGACGATGCAACCCTTTGTCTCTCTCTCTCTCTCTCTCTCTCTTTCTCTCCTTCCCTCGGTAAATTACGGCCGAATAACATTGGTCACTGGAAGTAGGCTACTTTATACACTTGGAACACAAAGCAAAGGTCTCACCTGCTGACCATATGCCTTTTCTCCGTGGCACACATACGTAGGTAACGTGTTCCGTCCACCCACGCACGCCGGCCATCTAGCACTTCGCATGTGCTATTAACTCGGAGGTATGTGTGCCTCTCTGTACTCGCGCGCGCACCTTTCCGCCTCTCTCTCTCTCTCTCTCTCTCTCTCTCTCCCTATGTATGCAACGGGCCTCGCGCGTATACGTGTGCGTGCACGCGGAGACAACGTCCAATCTAACCTACCTAGCGTTGCCTGACTCATTCTCCTACCTACCCACCTATCTGTCTAAACTGCGGCCGCGAATAGTGCCGTAATATAAAGGAAAAGGTGGACCTTCTCCGCCTCTTTCTCTCCCCCTCTCCCCTCCCTTTCTCTCTCTCTCTCTCTCTCTCTCTCTCTCTTTCTTTCTTTCTCGCTCTATAATCGCCGCTTTTAATCCGTCTGAATCGCGCCACCATGATCCGCTACCTCGTGTTCCTCGCGCTTCCGGTTGTAGCCTAACCTGTCTGCCGGATCCTCCTCTCCTCCTCCTCCTCTCCTTTTATTTCTCCTTTTTTTCTCCTTTCTTTTTTCTCGATTTCTCGATCCCCATGCGTGTACGCATATATCGAATGATTAACGCGTTTCCTTTTCCAAACACGATCCTGATTTTTTTTTTTTTTTTGGTGAAAAAAAAAGGCGAAGGATCTGTCCATAATCCGTAAAGATCTTGCCCCGATTTTGCGCAGATTCCCCCTCCCCCTCGATAAAGCGATCGGTGCGCGAGAGGTGGCCTTGAGGTGAATTCTACCTTCGATACGTAGTCTTTGGAGAGATAGCGAGAGAGAAAGAGAGAGAGAGAGAGGGAACGCGTGCGTTCGGTACACAGATTTTTAACGATTTCGCGAAACGTGTTCCACGAGACGTGCGCACTTCGAAGAGAACCTCCTCTTTTTGCTTTCGACTCGACGGATATAAATTGCCGAATATTCTTCGAATTTCTTTTCTTTTTTTTTTTTTTTTTTTTTTGCGAAAGGAAGGGAACGAAAACGAGGGTTGTCGGAATTGAAAATTATCGAAGAGCGCGGGAGAAGAGAAACTCTCCGCGTTACCAGACGGCCGATTTAACCCGAGTTGGTGTCAAAATAGCACGTAGGGAACCTTAGACCGGCTACGTTATAATAATCGTCCATACTTGTACCCGCTTATATACTATATAACCAGGTATATTCCACGGCTAGTGATCGTAGAGACCGATGGTGCAATGGTGGTGGTGGTGGTGGTGGTGGTGGTGGGAAGCGAACTTGTACCATAGGCAGTTAAAGTCATCGTTGTAGGTTTCCCTCGCGATATTAATCACGCGTACGCCTTGCCGTGTAAGCCGCGCGGAGTAACAATCTCTAATCCTCGATGAAACGGCGCTCGATTAGCCCAATAAGAGGGCAACGACAGACGGCTTTACATACTTCACCTCCTCGGTCACTTTCTACTCCGTACGTATATCCTTAAACGGTTCACCACGGTTCCTTCGCTTCGCCTCGATCCATCGCGATCCAGTTCGACCGCCCCGCTCGTAATACATTCGTCCGTATTTATCGCCTCGCGACAAAATCGCTTTCTCGAGTCGAATGGAATTCGCGACTCTTTCTTTTCCCTACGAATTATCTTCTCTCCTCCGTATATATACACACGTTCCGTGTGTGCACAAGCATCGAAGCAACGAAGGTGACAGAGGAGAAGAAGGAGGAGGGGAAGGGGGAGGAAGGGGATAGGTCGGTCGATCTAGCGAGTTTTCGAAAGATTCTTGGAGTTGTAGGGAAGATAGCCGGTCGAAGCACAGGCTGGAATATCGTCAATAATTACCTCGTGCGGCAAGTGGTGATGAGGATGCTGATACGGCGGCGGTACGTACGGCGGGTGGCTCGGATGATTGTGGGGGTGAGGTCGGGGATGGTTTTGATGTTGGGCTTGCGGCGGGAGCGGTTGGGGCGCAGGGGGCGGTGTCCAAGGCCCGTGGTTCGGCCC